GACAATAGTACGCTGAAGTACCATTAATATGGTTGATTATATCACTTCCTCTACCGAAAATTTCAATTATAACTTATCTATAACGAAATGTTTAAAAGTGAAATCGAGTTGTACTTCTGTGCCTGAGTAGGTTCAATAGACTTACTTTTTTTTAAAAATTTTGTATGACATTTAAACACTCAGATATGCAATATAATTTTCTAAATTTCTAACTTCTCGGTAAATACATTTATTTCATTGTATTAATTAATATTAAACTTTAAAACTTTCTTTCAACGGCAATTTATTATGTTACATATGCAATTTTTCATTTTTTCATTTCCAGAATTGTTGACTTTCTTAATTCTACTAATAAAAATAATACTATTATATATTTTTTTATTATATTAAAGAATAACACATTTTAATATAGAAGATTTTAATTCAATTTTTATTAGTTATTCGATTTTAATGAAAAATTGCAATGTTATTAACATTCTTTTTAATGTTTTTTATTAGGTAAGTAACAGTTTACGCAAGCGAGATAAATTTCTTAAATAAAATTAATAAAATATCTTAAGGGAAACGTACACTCGTTCGTTTATCTTATAACTACTTTTACAATTTACTTTGCTTTAACAAAAATTTCTAATTTGTCTTCAAACCTGATTATCATTCAGAAAAATTACCCTGTGACAAATGGAACAGGGATTCATTATTGTCTATGTATAATATGTATTTATTTAAAGCAAGTTACACCAAAATTTACAAAAGAAATTCAAGAAATATGTATGAAAAAATCAATAACTCACAAAATAAAAAGTTGTGAACTTATAATTGAAATTTGAAAAAAGTATAAATTATTATTTGAATAACAACAAAGATAAGAATAGTTACATTTTTATTAGTAATAAATGGTACTTTAATAATATAACGTATATAAATTATTCCTTATTTATATAGAATCTGAAAATGCTGTCTATCAATTTTAGTAAAAGTTTTTGTGTATTTTGATTTGAAATTTAATAAATTAAAAATTTAATTAATTTAATTTAAAACATTTTTTTTTATAATTCACGAATTTTCGTATTTATTTCTATTAATTAATACTTACTTATATTATTTTTTATTTATAAAAATTGTTCTATAAATTATTTTCATTTCTATTTTAATTTATGTACTATATATCAATATCCTTATATAATAAAATCTATATTTTTCTATATCTTTCACAGTTAAATTATATTCTCTTCGAATATTACAATTTTAATTATTAAAGTACATAATTCTATTGATATGTTAATATTTCGATTACAGTTTTTATTTTTATCTAAATAAAATTCTATTAAATATTAGCAAGTTAAGATATACTATATGACTATAATTACAGACGTATTATGAAATTATACTAATTAACAAATTAGATTAATTTTGCGTATTATGTACAAATATCACGACGTATTGAAAAACTAAATTTGTAATAATAAATTTTACAAAATTTTATCTTATCACCTTATAAAAATGAAATAAAATATATGTAAAATCTATTATAAATTATATTAAATGTAAAACTATAAAAAACCGTAATTAAAATTATATGTTATAATGTGTGAATCAGCAATACTCTTAATTAATGATTAAACTTTTCGGTGTAACTTGCGGTACAAAATGTATGACCGCCTAAAACGGTATGCCATTTATTATTTTCTTTTTCTTTCCTTCAGTCCCTTCTGGAAAGCCATTAATATAACGCGATTATTGTTTCAGCTTTGGTCGAAAGTAATATTTCTTTTTTTCACTTTTTACGTTGTTACTACTTTTGTTGACCTAATTTTCTTCATAAGATGTATGGGTCAAGCGTAGTACTTAAAAATGGAATTATTTTGAGGAATCTAATGCTATTAATAAAAAAATTATGGTTTAAACGTTGAACGAAATTTATTTCTAATTTGCTAAAAATGTCATCAATTAAAATTTATAAAAAAAAAATAATAAATAATATTGACAAATAAGATTATATTTACTCATATATTATCATTGGTAAAGCATTTTATCCTGCTAAAATAATCAATTTCTTAAATTATATCGAATGTTACCTAGGTATTTATTATAAAAGTAATCCTTTTATCTTTATTAATAATTGTATTTTATTCTATAAAATATTATAAATAGTATTTTTTAAAGGTACAAATAAAACAATATAAATATCGAATAATTTCAAAAATTTTTCCGGTATAATATTTCATTTTATAATAAATTTGATCGTACCGTAATATGTACGAATTTCTAATGGTATATACATAGTATATTAAATTTCTTATTCGAATATTGTCCATTTTTAAATAATTGTATGAAAAATAATTCAGTTTTTAATGTATTTATTTATAATATGTTTTCATTTTTCACCGAGTTATTTCATTAGGATATTCGAAAGAAAGGAAAACTATGATAATTTGGTATCATTAAATCTAATTACGGAACAGGAATGAACTCGTTTGTAAAGCTTTCATGAATGAAAAATAGTAAATATTTTCCTCGTAAATAGTGATCTACTTAAAACAAGTCACAGAATTTGCGCCGTCACCAATGCTAAAAAAGCGTCATCCGCCGCTAAAGCTAAAATAATCTTATGCCGTGTCATAGAAAAGAAAGAAAGACAGAAAAATGGAATCGAACAACATAATATTATTCATTTAATTGAGGAAACTTCTTTCCGCTTTACTGTTACTGTTATACTACATTTGTCTAATATATCATTTATTAACAGCGATTTTTAATTCTTATTTAATGAGTTTAGCCGTAGTTATTATTTAGAATAGATGGCTGCTCCAGTTAATATGGCAGTGCTCATTACACAGATCAACAAACAAAAAGTTTTTGCATACTGATTTCTTTTAGTTATGCATTATTGCTGTTTAGTTTGGATGTATTCTTCTCTGCTGAGGTGTTTCTCTCTCTCTCTCTCTCTCACTCTCTCTCTCTCTTTCTCTCTCACTTTCTCTGGTCTGGTTAATTATCAAATCAATTAATCGATATATTTATTATTATTTTGTATTTATTTAATCGAAAAATATCATCCTTTATATTCCGCTTTGAAATGACAAATCGATTAGCAGTTCACAGTTTCTTCTCTCATTTATCTAACTTGATCAATTTGTCCACCTACAGGGACATCTGGATAACTGTTCAAAAGCAGCTGCTTCTCTTTAACTCCATGATAGATAAGGCCAATTCTATGTATGCATGCAAGTTTATGATAGACGCATGCATGTGTATCTAAATCGTTTAAGCAAAAGCTTTAACTAGCCTTCTTCGGCATACCCTTGCAAATTTCTTTGTTCAATGGTTTTGCAGCTATCAATTATCAATCTTCAATTGCAAAGGCGAATAATGCAAGCATTTTAAATTTCAAATCTTTTTATTTGTTAATCTGAGTTCAAAATCTATATTATAATTGTGTTAAAAGTATTCTAATCGACAAAATTTCTTATACTCGTTTTCAATATTAAAGGACATCCCGAAGAAAAAAAAATTAGTTTTAGCAAACTTAATTTGTATTTTTTCAGACTTAATATTATATGTTTGCTTGAAATATTTTCCTCGATTAAATAGAATAATTTGTTAGGCATACTTAATTACTATTAATTACTTTATATGCTACAATAATTTTTTAGTATTTAGAAGAATATAATAGGAATTTAAAACTTTGTGTGTTATAACAGTGAACCTTTTGTACAAAGGTAATATATGGTGAACCCTTAATAATTGCAATATGTGCTCATAAAAGTTATTAAAAATTGCAGTGATAGGTAGTTTAATTTTAAATTCGTAAATGTTTGGCTTCGTTAAGTATTAAAACTATGTAAAATTACTACCATTGAAAAGGCGACAAAGTCAGTGCATTTTTAAATTGTCTTAGACATATCTTAAAAATTTATTTTAATATGAATATAAACTAATAATAATATTAGAGTTAATTAAAAAAAATTTTGTATTACTTAAATTTAACTAATTATATGTATTAAATACATGCAAGTAGTTACATTTATGTACGAATACTTATATAAAATCTATTTAATAATTTTAGTAAAATTTTTAATTTAAGTATAATATAATAATTCAAGTTATGTTTCACTTTGAAAATGATCGCACTTGAAAATTTTTGCGTAATCAACCAACCAATATTTTTTTCAGCGTATTAATAAATACACTGACTTTCATCATTATTACAGATGTTTCCATCGCGTAATATGTTAATTTTATAATATATCATATAATAATCACTTTACTTGATTATTTGAATAATTAATTATAAAAATATTTACGACAATTTAGTATTTAATTAATATATAATTGTTTATAACAATTATTAAGCGTAAATTATTGTAGAAATTTGTGAAATCGTAGTTAAAGTTTTTATTTACTCACTACGTTGCAGGCTTCTAATATATATTTCATTTAATCAGAATTATCCACGTGTATATAATGAAGTAAGTTTTTGTCTTATTTATGTTCACTATTAAATATAGTTAAATATTGAAAGTCGAATACAATATTTCATATGATTTAATATTTTAAAATAATAATTAATAATGTACTACAATAATCAATGATATTTTGATATGTAAGTAATATGTAAGTTTACGATATTAAATAGATAAGTACTATGTACAATATAACGAGCATTCAATAATAAGTTGAAAAAATTCAATATATATTCAACTTATTAAGCTAGAGAATTTTTAAATAATCAAATTATATTTACGTTAAACTACTGGATAATGCTGAATATTAAAGCATAAAAATTCATATTTTTTAAATATTCCTGAAGCTTCGAAAGTTGGTTTTTTTTGTACGAAATAAATAAGAGAAAAATCAACACTATTGGATAATTATATTCAGGAACAAATTTTGTATATCACATTAAAAGAATAACCCTTGATATAAAAATCAATATGACATTTTGTTAGAACAATGCAATATAATGTGAAAATGAAGCAAAGCACGTAGGTGTGCATAAAAATAACTCAAATTGAAAACTTACAAGGATGTATGAAATGACTTTTCGAAAAGAATTCTTATAGCGAACGCTAATCGAGGCATTGCGCCAGGCAGCAAATAACCCCGGAAGAACCTTTCCCGGGAAATTAACTGAGGGCGGAGCTTGCGGCATTGAGCTTGTCGGAGAACTGCTGTACCCACCATTTGGTCAGATTGAGATAGAATTCCGGCCCCTCCGGCTCGTAATCGAGGTACGTGAAGTCCCGATTACTCGCGGGCCTCGCGGGCTCGATTTGCGTACCCTCGTGCCATTCATTGAACGATGTCACGGAAATGATGGACGCTCCACTGTTTACCGCACTCCGCCACGCAAATTCATAATACTGACCGTGTCGTCGATGCCTAGTGTTTTCTGCGTTCCAAGGTCGAATCTGTGGGCACACACGGTCAATTTCGTTAGTCAGTTGCTATTTTTTCATCTTGCTTCCCGTAGGGTCAAAGGTCATCGGGGTTACATCGGCAGTACAGTCAATATGCCGGAGTACAATTAGTTATCTTAAAAATATTTAAAATGTGTGCTTCTTTATCTTTGTAGAGAGCTCTTACTGAAGTTTTTAAATTAGTGGAGCACGAAGTTGGCGGATAATCGATAATGACTAATTGTGTCAACTTAACCACGCATTTTTAATATTTTCAGAACTGCCAATTATTCGCAATGGTGGTATTTGTGTCTATTATTAGAAAGCTCAATTTTCTGAATCGATGATGAAGGATTGTGTGAACATATTAAATATTACATAATTAATGCAACTCTGTTCTTATTTGAAAATCTAAAGAAAAATGTTTTCAATTTAAATATCTTATTAAAAAAATTCTTATCTTATATATATAATTATAGAGCACTCTGAAAATAAATGAAAATAATATTTTTAATAAAGAAATTTAAATTCTTTGTACCAAAGATTTTAATTAAATTTTGCCATTTTTTATTTGAAATGCAGAAGAATTAAAAAAATTCTTGGATAATGAAAGGTAACTGAATGTATTTCATTAAATTACAAACCGATTAAAATTAAATCAAAATTATATTAAATCCGGTTATTGGATCACCTGTTGAATTAAAAAAAAAAAGAAGAATTCGAAGAAATAAAAAGGTCGTTTTTCTACACTTTGAAGGAAGAACTAAGAAATGAGAAATTTTTATTTTACTTTTAGTCTAATGGATATCTCATTACAGTTCTCCTTTTACCATTTTAAACAAATTTAAATTAACTGAAATACAATATTTCATTTAGAAGCCTTACTTTGAAGTTACAAAAATCTTAGTCCATGTTATTTAGAACATAATCATTCACAGAAAGGATTGGGGTTATCTCTAACCATATGCTGTACCATATGCACAAATTAGAAATGTGCTTATGGGATGGATGTATAAATGCAACGTTTACATTCAGCACTTTGAAAGATGCTATTATGATTTGTTATTTTTGAGAAGTTAGAAATACGAATCAGTATATAATAATAATAATAAAATGTTCATTCCATAATGTAGAATAAAATGTCTTGAGATCTTACATAACGTTTTAATAAATTAATATCTATACTAAACGAGAAATTAAATGTAGTAAAAATTAAATATGTTTTTTATTAAAATAAATAAAGTGTAATACAATAGAAATGCATAAAATAATAAATATTTTACGTACATATGAATAAGGATATAAAGATGAATAAATTGCATAAAAATTGTATTTAAAACGCGATAAATTACTTTAAGCTTTCATAAAATCAGTTAAGATACGACATGAATCTGTTTTCTAACAAGATTTACCATTAGATTATTTACCATTAGAACTATTTGAAATATCGATACAAAACTGTAAAGTTTTAGTACCAGAAGTTTCTATACATCGCAGCATAAGTTTACGTAATTTAATAGAAATTTCATATAAACGTGTCAATATGGAAAGATACTAAAACTTTAGAAGCAGTTACTAAAATTTATTCTCACCTAAAATTCTCTATCTTTGAAGAATTAACATTTTAAAATATTCTGATCCTTCACTTTTCATCCGTACATTCTCTCCCCTATCCTCCTTTTCCTCATAAATCTTTTTGTGCCCCTTCCACCCACCGATACCTACCATTCAACTACTCCGTTACTCCTTATTCTCATCCTTTTCATCTCATTCATTTCCATTCATTTGTTTTCCAATCGCTTAGTCTTGTTCTACTTCCTTAATGTCTTTACTCATACTTAGGCATTTCACCGCTGTCTTATTCTCATGAAAGCGTACAGCTTGTTTCATATTCGTCAGTTTCTTATCTCTCACGTCTTATTTTCATTTAAACTCTCCGCCTTCCCTTTTATAAAATATTAAATTTTGCGAATATTCTGCATCTATTCGAGGGACTATCAAACTTTTCTGCAATCGTAAACTGAGATAAGACGACTGTCTATAGATCGGAAAATTGAATTTATACTGAAATCCTTTTTAGAGCATACGCTATAAATCTGAAAGAGTGAAAAGTCGCTCCGTCGCCAATAAAAAGTGCACCCATGTTTGATGCAAGTAAAAACGTAATCTGATTCTAGTAAATTATAGCCCAACGCAAAAACGTGATAAATGCCTTTTTCCGCCCGATATTTTGTAATAATTCAGACGAATGTTATAACGATTCATCCGCACAAAATCCTCAATTATGTTTAATTAATAAATTAGTTCTTTTTTTATTCCTTCAAAATCCACTGATTCTTTCTCAATTTATTTGTATTGTTTTAATATTATAGTGTATTTCTATTAATTACATTGCTTTTTGAATATCATCTTTTCGACTTGATTATATTTATAACTTTATTTTCCATTTAATACTAGTACCAGTGGAATTAGTGCTTACAATCAATCGTAATTCGAGTGAAAGACAAGACACCCACATACCCGAAGAATAGAACTAAAGGACGTGAAAGCGCCGACGGCAAATCTTTCCACTTCCAGATGTATAGACTTACTTGAGTATCTATACTGTCCATCTCGGTCAAAAGAGATAATGCACCGCCATATTTATAATCTATATTCGATATATCTACCAAGTATCATTGAACCGATAGGAAACTTTTAAAATTTGTATTCTCCTATCTGCGATTCTTTTTGCTGAAAAGTCGTGAAACTATTTAAATATTCGCAGAACATAAAATAATATCGAGAGACTACATGTGCTGCCCGTAAAAAGTATTAAACATCGAGTTTCCCTTATGAAGTTTGGTTTTTACCTTTTTTTATTTTTTGTATTTAATATATATTTTAATATTTACATGCTATTGGATATCGAAATATAGCAAAAAATAACATGTCAAAAATTTAAAGACGAAAAATAATAAAAGAAGTTAATTAAATTTTAAGATTTACAGACTCAAATAGTTTGCTTGGTTAAATAAATTAAGGATTAAATTGTTTAGTGTTAATTTAACTCGCTTCATTTTAGTGTATTTCTACCAAGGAGAATAGGTCACAGATACATAATAATATAATATGTGAGTTTTAATAAACCTATTTCGATGAGTTATAATTTATGATTCTATGACTTTTCATTACACATGTATTATAAAAAAATCTAAAAAAGTTTTATTATATTTTTCAAAATTCACTTATAAGTTCTTTATGGTCGTGAACGTTGTTTAAAAAATATAAAAATTTATGATTTTTTATTTTTATTTTAATGAAACAAAAATGTATATATGTTAAGAAAAGTGCAATACCTAATTTTCTTATAATTTTCCAAAAAATTCTACGAAATTTTTCTTTCTCAAAGCTCGAATCTAAAAATTTCTCCTTCCAAAGTACGAGGAAGAAATAAAAATGAACGATGTGGGGGCGGCTTGGCACAACGCAATGCGACACTCGTTCGCAGTATTATTCACGTTTAAATGGATATACGCCGGTGAATTTCAATCCGTATATATGTCGATTATTGTGATATATAGACCAAATTTTTTGACATCTGTACGTTTATACTCGAGTATTTTAAAAAAATATATTTTTATTTATCAGTAAAATTTCGATTTGATATATTAGGAAATCTATTTGATTAACTTACGTATTTGTTGTAAACCATGTAAACATAAAGTCCTTATATTTTATCGTTATTGACTTTATATACATTGTAAATATGTTGCTTTTTTATTTATTTTCTAACACAATTTGAAACAATGTACAACTTCTGCGAAAATTTCCTTTTTTTTGTAAAGAAGATTAGATCAATTTATTTTGTCTATATTTTGTCATCAATAAGATTAGCCGCTCAGTTCTATATAATAATATACAGTAACCATGAATTTTTGTTGAACGTCCAATAATTAACAGGAATAATTACCGAGAAAATGTGAAAGCACTGATACAATGATAAAATAAGATGATTAACAAAATATTCACTACTAGCCGTAATAGATAACATTTACCTGAATCTGTTTAAATTTAATATTAGTAGAAATTGATTAAGATTAAAATCCTGAAAGGCGTTGAAGTCGCCTGATTTTTTTCGATAACTGTAAAAACTAGCCTACTTTCATGCATTTTCTCATTATTTAATATCAATTTTTGGGTTACACTAAATTTTTTTTTTAATTTCTCTTACAACTAATCAACTAGATCAATGCACTGAAAGCACTCATACGCATACTCCAGAAAATAATAATCGTTATATACACACTTGCCGTTTTATAACTTTTGTCCCGTAGGCTGAAAAATCACTTTATTGTCGTGGCGCGTAAGTAACGAAATTCTCATATTAGTGATATTGAACGGACCACTCCTGCCATCATCTAATAACGTTATTTAAACAATGCAAAATAATATCGAGTCTCCATTATAGTACGAATTTCTTCATTTTTTCATCATTATCTATTTAGCTTTTCTTCTCTTTATCTTCTTTATCTTCTTTAGCTTCTCTTTATCTTTTCATTTTTTCGTTTGATTATTTATTAATACAAACTGTATTATGTATAAATGTTTAATTAAATTAAATTATTAACAATATTATGTTTGCACTCGAGTAATAAGTGTAATTTAATACTATATTTCATTTTCTAAAAAATAAAATATTCTAAAAACATCATATTGCATTTAATAAAGCTAATTTTTATAATTAATTTCACAGTTTTAACGTGTTCTACATCAATTCAATCATATTATATAATCAGAATTTTTGTAAATGTACATATTAAAAATTTATATTCTTCAATTTATTAAATTATAGCAACGACTTAAATTAATAATTAATCTATAGTTTCATTATTTTCAATGAAAAGCTCATTAAGAAGTTTCTTAGTTGGTTTCGGTTTCAATTTACAATATGTTAAGTCTTCATGTTTTATTTGCAAATTATTTTCTATAAATTGTATTTGAACATGTTTTGATAATAAAGAAAGCAAATGATTTGCAAAAGGTTTGAATTTTATTTAAGTTTAAGGATCTTCATACAGAGATTAAAAATTGTCTTTGATACAACATAATCTTAAAACATATTTGATTAAAGAATATAATTTTAAAAATACTTTAAGTGTTAATATTAATAAATATATTAACAAAACTTGTTTCATATATATTTATTTTAAATGTAATGTAAGCAAATTCATGAAAAGAATATTTTAATTATAGTAAAATAGACTAAAAATTATTTTTGTTTGAATTTCATATCGAAATAAAGCACGAAAAATGACTTTCATTTTTAAAATTGAACTGATAGAATCAATTTACAACCTATGAAGCTTCATATTATAAAAGAATTTTATAAAAATCAATAAAAATTGGATTCTCTTAGGTAAATGATTGAACGATGAAAGAAAAGTTCACTGCGGTTACAGAACAACAGTGCCAGTCTAACTTTCGCTTATTATTCATTTAATTACTCGCGAACAAAAACGTGCTTTCATTTTAGTCTCTAATTTAAATGAAAAAATAACTTTCTTTTCAAATAATTTTTACGATGTAAATTATGATTTTAATTAAAAATGTTTAAAATTTTAGCATTTTTTAAAATGAATATTAATTATAATTTATTAATATATGAAATCATAATATATTTTGGTTTATTTTGATAATATTTATAAACTTCAAAAAACATCGTTATTCTTGCTCTTAAGAAGATATGTATCATGTAAACTTTAAAATGAACGTCCAAAACGAATAATAAATTTTCTTTTCCAGCTTAAACTTCAAGAAGCTATAATTTAGCTACATTTACAACTGATCTAGAGATTTTGTTTAGACTGTGTATAGTTAAGAAAAAATGTAATATTTAATATGAGTATTTTTTTAATTTAAAGGCTAATGAACAATGAAGATTGACATTTGTTTTAAATTATTTTTTAAATCGGAAATTTTCTAAATATTTATGAAAAGATGTAATTTTATTAAATATTATAGGTATTCTGATTAATTTGCATCACAAGAACTAAAATTTCTGTTATAGAGTAAAAAAGACATACTAAAATATATAATATTAGAATTAATTATTTATTTAAATAAATATAAATATCTAATTGTAGAGATTATTGTATTAAATATTAGCGCGAATATAACAAGGAATTTACAGGATATAGCTAGGAATATACACGTTTTTCTTATTTTGAAAACAAATAAAATTTATTTCATTTAAATTTAAATTAAGCATTAATCAAACCATATGTATATATTTATCCGGAGTTCCTTTATCTTCCTTTATTTTCTATAATACAATACATATCTTTCTCTAAAGGTATATTGAATTTATTTACCTAATTAACTGGAATTTCCGGTATTTATTGTGAATATAATTATTTTATGCAGTATATAAACAGATATGCTACAAATATATGTTTTAGCGAATCAAATAAATTCAACTTATAAAATATAGTTTAATCAGTACTTATATCTGTGATTCTGAATCTGTTAATTTATTAGGAATTATTTGAATTATTGGATTATCTGTCAAGAGTTTCATATGTTTATACATATGCAATATTAAACGTCAGGAAATTGGGTATTTTTTCATAAATGAACAAACTATATGTATGTAGTCATGTTTCGAGTTTGTTGAGTAATTTTTAGAATCATTAATCACTACACCATGGAAATCAATTAATAATTTATAATTGGAACATAAATACGATTATCGATAAAATAAAGCTACTAAATTTTTGTTTTCTGTATTCGGAATTGTTATGAATTCATTTTTAAATCCTTGGTTTAGTAAACTTTAATAATTATAAAACAAATAAATATTTTCCTATATTTTTTACTACAATTATAAGTACGCGAAATAAATTTATAGAAAATATTATTTAATTTTAATAATAATTTTATATATACTCATACTATGATTTATATCTAACTTTTTACACCTAAAACTAGGAATGATTAGTTATGATAATAAAATAGTCTCAATAATTGTTAAAATAGTTTCCTCGAATTTGTATTAGCATGTTCATTAAAGTAGATAATCGATTCAGGAACGATATAGGTTTAATTAAAATAGAAAACATTTTAAATGATTAAAAAAAATGTATACAAATTTATTTTTTAATTTAAAAATACCGTATCTTAAATTAGAAGTATGCTTTCTTTTGTTAATGTTTCGGTTTTTGTTAGTTAATGATTTGTATTTCTAAATAAATTGTAAAATTAAATTTGAAATCATGTCTTGCTTTAATTTAAAATGTCTAGAGAATTATCAAATTACAGAATTATAATACTTCAAGATAAAGGAAAAATATGTCTGTACTTAAAAAAACTCACCCGCGTATCAATGTATCCTGGTCCCAGGCTGGGTATGAAGAGCAATCCATTTTGATTCGCAAACTTGTTTAAGTCCTTCCAATTTTTCCAAGAGCTGCCGTAACTAAAACCATTTATACCAAAATACGTGTAAAATCCATCGAAGTGGGACTTTTTGATGTGATTCTTGTGCTGAGCATCTACCAAAAGCCCGATATAAATGGCGTCTAGTTCAGTTCCTCGAAGTGTCAGATTTCCGTGTTCTGATAACAATTCCCACCAGGCACTCGATGGAAACACATAAGAGTCATATATATACACAACTGGTAAGACTGTTCCACTGAGAAAAATAAATACATAAAGAAGTTTGAATTGATAATGTTGTTTATTATCTATGATAGATAACGATTTTTCAACAATTTCTATATTTTCCGTCATTATTAACTGGAAACCTCCATCTTTTTAAGTATGAATAAAGTTAAGAAAAAAAAGAGAAAGTGCTAAGTTTTTTTTATTAAATTATGTATGCTTTTACCAAATTAAATTAATGAATACTTACTCAGATTCTCGTCGCATCCGATAAAGTGCCGGATGAGAGCCGTATTGACTGAACAAATATCGCAAATGTTCCATAAGATTGATCGGATTTCTTCCTTCATAAGGCTCAATATGTGGAGCGATTTTCAATTGATATCTATGAGCAGCATCCAACAGATCGGGCATGATGGAGTCAGTGTTTTCGTTACTCGTCGGCGGAGTCCAGGAAACTATTACCGCTCCTATTATAGTGTACGATTGTTATATCAAATGCATTGCATTAATAAAGCGGTATAAGTCCATATTTCAAAAACAAAACTCACCAATGCCAGCCTCTTTTAATTGCCTCATATGAAGATCGATGATTTGAGGATTCATGGAACTGTAACATCCTAGAGTAGGATAATAGTTGGCACCTATATCAGCTGGCGGTAAGTGACTACCCTCGGGATAGATTCTTTTATCGCTCTTTTTCCAGTACGGAAGATAGTCGTGGTTCCAGTGTCTCCAGACACCGTCATATTCTTTGGAACGATACCAAGCGTAGTAAAAGATGTGGACGTTGTAATTTGGTTCAACTACTAAGATACTATTTAGGAGCGGCAAAACTTTATTTCTCATCTGCCGGGCCATTTTCGATGATTTGTCTTGGATAATCTCCTGTTGCACTCCCCTGTCACTTTTATCATGCTTTTCCATTTTACTTGAAAAATTTATAAGAAAACTTAACTATAACTAAACTTAAAAAATGATATCTATTATACTTTTATCGGCGACATTAAATATTTGTGATAGAAGTGATATTTAATTTAATTACTAGATAAAAAAGTTTGTATTTCATTATTTTATCTCGCTTTTAATTTTAATCTTGTCTAAAAGAATGTAAAATTATTTTTTGTAAAAAAAATTACATTACTCGTTATCATTAATCACATCACCTTTTAATTCTCAATTTTTACTTTAATTTAATTATTATAATATCTAATTATCTTCTAATTAGTTTTTAAAGAAATTTTATATTCATTAATTATTTTTTCAAAAATAAAAAAGACAACCATAATACTAGATTATTATATAAAAAATTATCTTACTGTAAGTATATACGTCCTAATTATATTGGAAGATAAATAAATAAATTAATTAATGCATACATGGTGTTTTCCGATGTCGTTATCAATGCTTTCGTTGGATTATTTAACAAAGTACTCCATTCGAGAGTCGCTGTCACTGCGTGCGGTTGGCACTTGACTGATTCCAATGGTGACAGCTTGACAATTATGATCGCTGCCATAAGAGTTGACACTATCAATACCATCGCCGATAAGTAAAAACACTTTCTCAGCGACACCGCTGTTATCAGATTACCCAAGTACATGTTTACCGATTAATATTCCTTTTAAAGATATATTACTACGAGCATCGATATCGCTCTCTTCTCCGTGTACAAAGCCGATTTTAAATTTTTTGCATAATTTCCATATTATGCGAATTAATCGTGAATTTAGGTCCAAAGCAAAATAAAAAGAACAAGAACAATGATAATGACGACGACGTGCTCGGCCTCTGCGACAAACTCGTACACAGATAAACCAGAAGCAGCAGTGAAATCGATATCTTCAGACAAAATGCTGGCGAATTCTCGTACTGATCCGGGTAACGGGTAAACAAAAGACCGATCGAGGCCGTCGGTATATCAAGACCACTTCTGACAGGCAGATTGCTTTTCTTTGGTGGCGGGAAGGAGAAGGGAGTCGTGTAAAAGGTAATACGAAAGCCGTGTGAGAGAGCGAGTAACGTATAGTCAGGGCTTAAAGAAATATTGATAGTTGTCTTTGAAACGTTTTAGTCGAGAGTAATGCTATCTTTTTATATCGGGATTTCTCGTTAGGTATCTGACATCGCGAAAGACAACCTCCGGTTGCGGCGCAAGTCCCTCCCGGAATGCTTTCCTCCTCGGCAGTTTTGCCACTGGCCCTCCACCAAGAACTTCCCTCGCCCACTCATCCCGACGATATGCGCGGGTCGCGCAGGCGTACTGCGCTCACGTCTCCCACTCCTAGAAGCTGGGATTAGAGAACGCAGGCGCCACGGGTTACTCGTCATTACCCCTATCATCGGGAGGGTATGGGATTTGTTAACTGCATTAATAGTGCGCCCGCTACCGCGCGATGAATATTAATAGTTCAGCTAGTATCTGCAGTAATGAATGATAATAAGGAATTATGATTAATAAGGAAATTAAACAGTGAATAGGGCTACGGGACCTTTTCGGAAATATAGAACGCCCAAGCATGACTTTACGTAATGTTCGCACTTCTTCATTTCGAAAAATAGAAATTAAAAAGTATGGGAAAATATTAAGAGATGATGAGCAACTCAAAAATTGATAATACAACTTGTATAAGTTAAACACTGTTGAATAACGATAATCATATGAAGAGGAATCTTTTTTCTTTGTTCGTGAATTTTTCATATACGAACGAAGACTCTTATAAAAGTTTTCTTAAGAAACTGATAAATTGTCGCGTAGCTTGAAAATTTAACTTTAGCAAACTAAACTCATAAATATTTGCGTTGAATAAAATACGTCTCGACGATTTTTCGACTTCAAATTTATCTCGTACAAATTTAAGAGAACAATTTAAATTAAATTTAAATTTAGATTGGATATTAAAAAAAAAAAATTAAAAAATTGTTTAATTATATTTATCATACCTTACGATATAAATAACATAAATGAATGTATATAATTATATATGAAGAAGATAATAACATTAATTGTACTACATATAAATTGTCTTTATAACATTATATATTTAGCAATGTTAATCTTCAGCTTTGACATTTTTAGTAAATTAAAAATGAATAAGTTTTGATTGAAATATGCGTTCATTAAAGAATTATGATGAAAATAGAATATGTCTATAATAGGATTTCTATTTCATCATTAAATACAGTTTTCAATATTAAATTTAAAACGACTGATAAATTATACGATAATGGCTTACATACAGTTTTAAATAAAGTAAATATAGTAGAAATAAACATAAAACTAAATAAAGTAAAGAGTAAATTCTGTAATATTACTTTAAAGCATTAATAAAAAAATTTAATTTTCCGTAAATCATATATTAAATATTAAATGTATTATTTGGATATTGCTTATATTTTGTGTTTGTAACACTTTAAATAAAAAATACATTATTTCAGACTTAATATTAATAAATAGTAAGCGACGAACAATATAGATTATCTATTAATTAAAGTATTATAAATTTATTACATTAGTTAAATACAATGCTTATGCATGTTGCTATGTATACGTATATATTAGGAGTAGTATATATAAGTAGTACCAGTCAGACTTCCATGCGACATGGCATGGTATCTTCCAAAATTGGATTTATAATTTATGCATAACTACTCAACGCAGGAAATAACTATTTTCAAATTCATTAAACTACCATATTATTTCATAGATTTCATATTTAAGATGTGTTTTTTTATTTACAATTACTGATTTCATTTTAACAAGAATAACAATAATAAACGTATTCGTAAATATTCTTCATTCATCATAGAATTAATCTAAAAAATAAAAAATAATAATTGTTCGAATAATAATTGATTTACTAGTGAACATATTTCGTTTTTAGCTATTAAACATTTTGGTAATCTAGTTATATATCTAACGTTTTTCACAAATCTTTTTTTAAAGTTAGTATTTTAAGAAATGATTTGTACTTATCTTTATCGAGGAAGCTCATGACTGCCATACATCAAATCAAATCAATATGAAGACTTACTTTTTAACTTTATCGAACATATAATGTTGTCATTGTATATTTCTTTTAAATATCCGTTTGATTATATTCTAGTAAATTTATGATATTATTTTCAATATTAAAAATATCTTGTTCAGAAATATTATATACTATATTTTATAAAGAGCTGAATTATAAACTATATTTTGTAGGTCTACTTTGTCACGTCTAATAATGTAAAAACAAGACCAGGTAAATATACATTTTTATTCTATTCACAATAAAATGATAAAGCAGGATTTTATTGTTCTTAATTTATTTTATATGATTTCTCATAATTACATATCTTTTTATTCAGTTAAGACATAAAAGCAGAATATTTTAAAAACAAATACGGAAAACAAAAACGAATTCAATTCACATTCAAAACAGGTACAAATATAGATATAATATAATATATGAACAAATATTAGAATAATTTTATAATAAAAAATCTTTTAGAAATCTGTGTAGATTATTTTTATTAATATTATTTTTAATAAAACATAAAAAAATATTCATATTACAAGTAATAATAGTTTAATTGAAAAATATATAAATAAATTTTACTGTAAATTGTTTTATATTTAAAATTTGTAATTCATATATTATATATGTTATATATTTTATATATATTTTTTATCTTTAATATAATAATTATAATTCTTTCAAATCATTTAAAATTAACATAATTTCTCTAACATAATGTTTCTGCTAGTTTAAAATACATTTTACTTTAATCTAATTAAAATTATTGAATATTTTATTTTTCACGATGTGCTTAAACCTAATTTTTAATAGTGTATATTATAAGTAAATAGACTTTAAAAATCAAATTTATTAATATATTATATTTTTATTTAATGAAATAGGTGGATAAAGCCTATTTTAATTTCTATTATGCAATTACTTTTAAAGAACTTATTGGATTGAATGATTGTGTATTTAACAAATCTTTTAGTAAATTAATTAAAAATATTAATTAAGAAAAACAAATATCAACATTTTACATTACTTTATCATCTATTTATTTTTATCTTTATCTCTCTCATCGTTGGGCCCAAATCACGACAAAAATTATGTAGCCTGTGTGTCTGTGTGTTTTTTTTCAAAGATAACATATACCCTTTTGAGTACATTTAATCTACATGAGAAAATTAATTTCCGATCTTAAAGTACTATTTAAATTTATTGGTTTAATTATTATCGATTCTTTATTTTTATCAATACTAACTATTTTTATAAATTCATAAAATAAGTTATAAAATATTTATTATACAAACATCTATTAATAAAAAATAATTAAGCCTCTATTTTTTATATATAATTTTGTAATATATAATATATAATTATTATACTAACAGGAGTCTTTTAACAAATATCTTTAAATTAAATCTAATTTAAAAATTTCAAATCAAGTATTCGCCTTCTTTTCTTTTATAAATTATACAAAAGTATTTTAATACTTTTTTTTAATTAATATAGATTCTATATTTAATTATATTATATTATATTTTATTTATAAGCTTGTCCAATTGTATCATCCTGCGTTGTAATTATAAACAATTCATTATCTAATATTCATATGCATGCTTCAAATAAAAACAATAATACTCAATATTTCATATAATTTTTCTTTATATTGTAATTAGACTAAGTACTCATATAATATTTTTATTGAAAAATAGATTATATCTTGAATGATTTTTTATTTAAAAAAATGAATTATTTCTATATTAAATATTTGTATTTAATTCCATTATATTTTCAAGTTTAAATCGTTTACCAAATAGTAATATTCGAAATAAAAAATTGTTATTAATATAATTATAAAAATAAGTCAAACGTTAGTTTTAATATAAATATTAATTTGAATAAATGCTACTTTATGAAAATTCCAGATATATTCTAAATATTGTATTAATTAAATGTACAAACAATTCAATTTAATATAATAAGATTTTAAAAATATATGCGGGCTTTATATTAAAGTTATATTTATTTGAATTAATATTTATATTTAAACCTACGTTTCACATAAATATTAATTAAAGCAAATGTTACTTTAATATCAATTTCATATATATTCTAAGTATTGTATTAATTAAATGAATAAGTAGTTCAGTTTTTATAAAATAAATTCCCTTTGTAAGATAGTTTTTCTTTAAATTTCGTCTAATATATTTTTTTCAAATAAATTTAATATTAGTATTTTAATAATTTAATATGTATTTAATATTAGTTTTGTAAGAATATGTCAGTCAGAAATTGAATTTCGAAATTATGAACAATACATATCAACTTCCTATGTTATAGATTTTAAATAAATTCAAAAGGATTATAATTACGTGCTTTGGTATTGATTTTAAATAGATACATTCAACAGGATTGTAATTACTTTCTTTGTTATTGATTTAGAATAGATAAATTAAAGAGGATTATAATTACATTCTTAGTTGATGACTTTAAATAAATAAATTGAAAAGGATTATAATTATATCTACAATTAAGTTAAAAAGTATTTTTTTATCCGAAATGCAAGGCTTTTATTTTTAATATAATATAAAGTTTGTAACTGTACAATCAAAATCTCATTTTGATTTTATAAAATTTTATAAAAAATAATTT